AACAGTGCAGAGTGACGGGCTCTTGGGAAGTTAATCCTTAACCAGTTAGGGTTGGTGTGTGCGGAGGTTATTTATCAAGAAAAGCGGGGGGGGGGGGGGGGGGGGGAGAGAACACGCTGAGGGATTTCCACAGAAGGTAACAATGTGAGTAGGAAAATGACATAGATATTCAGTTATTCAGTAGAAGTTAGAGTGCATATTCATAGCGGTGCTTAGCCATGCTAATCTGCCGTCGGTCCCCAGACGGTTGTCGTTCTGTTACCCTGAGCTTCTTCATTGTGCCTCGCGGGGCATCGCTGCAGACTCCCAACTCCAGACTTTGGGATTTGAACCCTACCTTTGTAAAATTAGCATTTTCTCCCTTTGTTGCGCTGTGTGAGTTCCCTTTTACATAATCCAGTGTGCTCTTCCCCCGCTATGATGCTCGGGGCATGAAATATCCATCCGGAGTATAACTTGCAGAGGTGGAAAGTTCAGGTCTAGAAACTACAAAACCTGGTTTTGTTTCAACCAACCAGTTGAGAATAAAGAGTCAAAGTCACAGAGAACTCAGCTGGTTGGCTGAAACAAAATCTTGGTCCGGATTTTTACTTCCCGGATCTGATAACTACTAAACTCTTTAAACTCTTCTAAAACAGGGCAGAACTTCCCCAGCACTGAGTTTCCCTCGACGGACCTGTTGCGACAGTCAGGCTGATCGCTAACGTGTGTCACAGAGACTGTGACCCCCCCCCACCCGAAGAGGCCGGATGCTCCTGCTTAATGAGCACCGCGGTAGGTTCGCTGATGCCCAGTGACTCACCAGAAATGTCGCCTCTCCCTGTAACGCGCTGAAGGAAATTTCGGCTGGAGAGACCCACCCCCCACTGCGACAACGCCCCCGACGCTGTGCCGCACAACAAGATTAGACACGCCGTAAGCCATTCGCTAATCGAAATCTCGCCAGGGGGATGTTCCCTGTGCCTTTTGCACCCTCTCGTCTCCTGGAGACCGTCTGTAACTCTGACCCCCTGTGGTTCAGGACAGAATAGACCTGCAGCATATGTAGATACAAGCTGAAGCTCTACAAGGCCTTGGAGTTTACCCTATACTTACAGCCACATCCTTCTCTCTGGATCTAACGCCCAAAGTAATCCCCTCCTCTCATAACGCCGTTCGCACTGGCACACTTGCTTGACGCACAGCTGCCCATTCTGCTCCCACATCTCACATCACCCTGCCGTAGTGGGCATTTGTTTCACCAGCTTGACGGTGGCGCGGCAGACAGCATCCAGAGCTGTCAGTTTGATTCCCACCCCCGCACCCATGTACATGAAACTAGCTCGTTATTACATATTAGAAGTCAAAGCAACACGCAGGTGCCATCAGTGTCATTTGTCAAAAACCCATCAGAAATATGATTACCCTGCTGGTCACCGGAATCAAACCTCATCAGTTTTTTGTGGTGATGGCCTGCGGACAGAACCTGCACCTGGACCTAGTAGTCTTGGTATACTGAGTTCCCTGGCTTCTGCCAGAGGAGAGGAGTTTATTTTCACAAACAATCAGGCACATTTTACCGGGTTGGGGGGGGGAACCTCCCTTCCTGTCAAACACTTACCCCATGAAAGGTCTCTGCTCATCACTACGCCCTCCAACCCAAACTCCCCCCCCCCTCCGCAATGTCACAGACAATCAGGCAAATTTTACCAAGGGGACCCCAGCACCTCCCCCCCCCCCACACACCTACCTCTTGGTGAAACCAAGACTTGACCAATGTTTTTGGAGAGTTTGGTTTCCTCTGGTTCCCAAGCGTACAGCTAAGCAGACCGACATTCTGTGAAAACTACCCACGTTGTGCTGCTGTCTGTCCTGCGATGGCATGCCCCCCCCCCCCACCCCCATCTTGGACCTTGTGCTGCTCTATACAAGCTCCAGGCTGCCTATGTTCCTATACCAGATAAGCAGCTACGGAAAAAAATGTGTCAGACCAAAGAATAACAAACAAACAACGTCAATAGGACCCAGGAAGGATGGGCCTCTCCTCTCCATTAAGGGCACATCCTTCGCTCTCCAGGGCTCAGAGTCATTTCTTTGCAGACTTTATTATAATATTCTGGTCAGAGCTCAGTACTATGTACCCGAGAGCTATATATATATGATATGTTATCATTACCACTCTAAAACGTTCTGCAACGATGATGTACTAGATAACATCGAGCTCTACTTCCCTGTTGTGGCGTTGCTGGCTGGCTGCTATTTTAATTCCAGGGTATATGAAGCCCCCCGTACCTTAATCTCTCACCACACCCGCCAAAGAGTATTTAATTTGCCTGAAACAGCGTTCAGCATGGTAAATATGAAGCAGTTTAGTCTGTGTGCCCCAGGATGCGCTGTGGGCCCCATTCATACCCAGCGCATGTCCAGTCTGGCACAATTAAGGAGCGATTTATCTGGCCTGACGAGGCTCTGTTGGTGATGTCAGTCTAATCCATCACAGTGGAATCTCCAAACCGCACGGCGCTATCGGCGTCAGACACGATGAGCCGATTCTGATGCCTGGAAGATGACGTTCTTGTGCTGCGTCTGGCATCTGCTTTCCTCTCCTGGATTTGTGATCTCCAAGGTAACAAAAATGGTTAAAAAAAGAAACCCCGTAGCTGCACAACCTCTAACTGTATACTAATGACTCCCCCCTCTCTCTACCCCCCCCCTCCCCCCCCAGTATACAAATCTTCATTATTGTATTATCATTTATTATACAGTTTTAAAAATTTTATTGGTGTTGGCACGGCCGTTACATGAGCCTCATAAATAATTAATGGCGATTTCTGCGTGACATCGGGAGTTTGTCATTTCTAACGACTGTCTAATTCAGTGTTTCCCAATCCGGTCCTTGGGGCCCCGCAGACGGTCCATGTTTTCGCTGGGAGGGAGCAAAAATGTGGACTGTCTAGTAGGGAGCTCGGAGGAAGCAAAAACATGGACTGGCAGTGGGTCCCCAAGGACCGGATTCCAATTGAACCCGAAGGCCCAATTAATGAAAACCTGCACCATAAGCTTTTGGCTCTGGTGATATGAGTCTTCATAATGAAAACAGACTGATATGAGGGTGCAGAGTCGGCTTCTTGACCCGAGTGCCTGCGCAGTGAGCCAGCTTGACCTGGGAGAAAAAGCGAGCACGGTTTCCACTGAATGGAATTTTGAACTGATCTCTATTAAATAGGCATCTTAAGTCATTTAAAGCTAAGGCACATGACTTTAAGATGGTCACAGCTAATTAATGCATGACAATAAGTAGCAACCTGCCCAATTAAATGTGATTGTAGTTAATTGATGTGGGCCAGCCTTTGGCTCCTGTAAGTATGGTTACTGTTAACTAACAGGACGACTCCCTAGGGCCTGGTCATTAGGAGAATGAGCAGCAAAATAATACAGTCAGTCCTTCACAGTCTTACACCAAAAGGACCTTAGAGTAAATACTTAATCTCGAGTTCAATAAAAAAACCTCTGCATCATGGCTATTATATAAATAATGTATCAGGCTCTTAATTAAATATTTGTATGCAGAAAGCAGTTAAGCAAGACCACTGGACAGATATTAAAAGACAGAATAAATTAGGCTTAATGGAGTGGCTCTGCTTTCCTTACCCTGGCAAGCTGCACCTATTTAAGGAGCAGTACAAACACACGCTGAAATAAAGTAAAATCAGCACTATTCTGATATATTCATACTATACCCTGCTCTGAAAATAGTCACAACAGTGTGAAGCCTGCCATCAATCCACGCTTTTAAATACACACTTTAAATTCAAACGGGACATGGGTCGTTCCGGGTGCGCTGACCCAGCAAGCGCTTGGAGACCTGGAACATTCACCAGAGGTGCGCAGCATGCGCTGGGGAATAACAGGTGCAGGGATGAGCATATGGGAGGCAGATGACCAATCAGAGGGAAGCTACTTTTCGCAGGCCTCCAGCAGCACATCACACGCGCGCCGCCATTGGCCAGAGCACCATCACACCTGCCTGGCAAAGGGAGTCTCTCGCTGATTCGATTTTCTGCACTTCAGCGTTGAAAAACTTTCCCTCCAAAGCCCCTGCTTTGTTTACATAATCCATTTCACTCTCTGAAACATATTCATTAAGTATCTTTTTTTCCTGAGGAACACGGGCTTCTTAATTGCAAAGACATTTAATAATTTCGCGTCATCACTTTCCAGCATTAACATTGTAGTTCTTCAGCACGATTCTCCTGCATAATAGGCACTGGGGTTTCTAGAAGCTTCTAAAATGGTGGGACTAGCTTCTTAACATGTCTTGTAGAATCTCTTATTGGCTTGATTGGCTACAGAATGAAATGAAATGAGAGGGGGGTAACTAACCTCAAATAATAATAATTTAAAAAAAGCAGGAGAAAAGAGCATGGCTGTTCCACGCTTTCGTTGTCCTGGAGATACAGACTTCGGCAAAAATGCTGTCTGCCTCTGACCTGCTGCAAAGCTCACAGAGACCCTGACTCTCAGCCAATGAGGAAACTTCCACTGTAACGAGCCCAGTACCTAGGAAACACTTTCAATAATGAGGACCTAAGACCTCCATAGCACCCTTTGCAATTAATATGAACAAGTGTTGAATGAAAGTTTCATGTTGTGTCACTGATACGAGTGCATGCATGGGGATCC